TTAGCTTTTAATTTAGCAGAACAACAAAGGTTTATTAGACAAATCTCCATAATTATCTTTCACTAAGAATGTTCTTAAATACTTGCACTCTTGTGAGTTCCTTTACATTTCTATGCAACCCAGAATTATTAGGTAAGTATAACTGACAAAAATCCTAATTGTACTAAAAAAGAATTTCTGTGGTTCTTCTGTAATTATTTGCACCAATTTCTAATACCGACTTTGTTCACTGGAAGAATATAATTTCATTTAAGCAGTAACTGTGGAGTAACTGGATACGTCTCTCCTGATATGGGCTGGCACATCAGCTCTTTCGAAAGACCACTGTCAATCAGACCATGCTGGAGTCAGTGAGGATGTAACACACATAAATGATAAAAAAAATCACATAAATGAAAAATACATCAGTACATTTTCTGGAAGAACCAGACGAGATTTTGGGGAAAAGTCTGTATAAAAAAGGCTTGCTTATATCTCTGTTTTTGCCAGTGGCAGGAGGGGAAGGTAAGAATTACAATAGTTAAGGTATAGCCTTAAAAAAACTACCTGTTATTGTTTTATAAAATCATAAAATTGTTGTTAAGATTACAAGTGTTTGAATTAAAAATATTTTTTATGTAAGGATGCAAGTCTTGAGTTTACATCCCTCCATTTAACAGGTTGAACTAGAAGCCAGTGAGTGCTTTATAGACCATCTTCCAGTGCAGAGTGTTCAGGGATTGCTGGAGTCCCATGAATCCCAGCTGCACAGTGCTCCTCTAGCAAAGCTGTTGGAACCTTGGAACTGAAAGATAATCAGCAAAGATTGGCTGATGAGCTAAGGCTGCAGCAAAGAACCAAGTTGGTTTGGTGCTTTCTTCTTTTCCATGGTCAGTGGTGCTTTTTCTGTTTTGCCATTTTGGTTGGTTGATCTTTATGTCAGTAATTCACACACACAGATGCTATATGTGGTTTTAAGTGTTGATAAATCAAAACGTCTATTCATGTCTTTGCTGTGCTATAGGGAAAAATACTGCATAATTTTCCATACAGCATAGACAACAGGTTCTTCTTTACTCTGGACTGAATTAAAGATTTGCATCCTTACCCACTGGGAAATTGGTGGTTTTTGAAGAGCGTGGGGATAGTTGTAGAACTAATGTCTGTCTGGAAAAACCAGACTGGGGTAAACTTGGGAATGGGACAAAGGAAAGAACAGCATAAGAGCCAAATCAACAAAGTAGTTCTTCTGGCCTCAGTACAGGTGATAGGAAGAGCAAAGCCTTCCCAAAGAAAGAAAGGAGCCTGGCAACTGCAATAACCTCCCAAAGCCTAAACAAATGAGAAAGAAGTGAGCTTTTTTCTCAGTATAGCGTGTATTATTATACTGAAATTGCCATAGCAATAAAGCTACAGCTATTTATGATAGCATGAAGAGCTAATCAAAACCAACTATCAGAGGCAGCTGAACCCTGATGAACACAGGGGTTTGGAACTGGATGATCTTTAAGGTCCCTTTCAACTCAAACCATTCTGTAATTCTATGAACACTCAGCCTCATAAAGTAGACTTGTTATTTTCCAGTGAATAATAAAGGGCTTAGGTAGAACATTACCATGGCAAGGTACCAAAACAAGAGCTATATCTAGTTTTGGATGATTTTCTGTAAAGTTTCTGATGTTAAAGGTGACTCAAAACACTGCACAACCAATCTACATTGTATGAGGGTAGTTGGAAAGTTGAAAATACAAGAAATTTATAGAGAGCTTAAATAGTAGAGGTGATTTTAAAAAACAGAGCAGGTTATTTTTCCTGTTTCACACTCAAAGGATAATTTATCATTTTGAAACCTGTTCTGTGACGGATTCACAATTGTATAAAGTCTTAGAATATAAAGTTTTATAAAGTGGCTGTAGCATGGATGTGGGTCAGTTTGAAATGCCATCACCTTGTGAACCTATGTGCCTGTTCTTTTGTTTGTGTGCTGGATTAAAGTAACTGTCTGACTTGGACCTGGTGTGAATTCTGCATTACTTTTGTGTTTATAGCATTTTTAGAGATTTTTCAGCTGGGAAATTGATCAGAGAATTATCTATTTAGGTCCGTGTGAGTTTGTACTCCATATCATCATCATCATTATCATCATCATCATCTGCAGCCTACATGAGGCCAGAAACCCAGGTTGTTGTAGGAAAGACAAACCATTTCTTCTTCTTCAGGACTTTCCTAAATCTGTTATTTATGATACAGGACCATTTTGCCATATGTTTCTTATGTTTTTTCTTATCTTTTTATTAATCTTGTCTTTAACATTGACCCTATTAAAAAAAAAAAATTAAAAATTGAAGTCTCTGCCCCTAGGAGCCCACACATTTAGTGTAGATACAGACAAAATCAGGAACTTCTACAACACCTCATTAAAAATTCTCTTCTTCATTAACTGCATCACTGCTATGGAGTAAAACAGCAATAGATGTTAAATGAAACATTTACAATGATGCAACGTGTATTACAACACATCATCTGCATCCCATCGGGATTTTAGTTGCATTGCAGAAAAAATGAATGCAATGGTGGCACAGGCACCAGAAAGTTATTAGGAAGCAGAGTTCTACCAGCCTTCTTAGGTATTTGTGATTGCTACCTGAACCCCCTTGCAGCTTGAGTAAACAAGAAATGTTCGAAAAGAACATGAGAATTAGTAAGGTCTCAATGTTTACATATAAACAATTTCTGAAAACACATCAACCTCTCGAAATTTTGGTCTGAATACTGATTCTGTAGAACCAGTAATTCTGTAAAATTAATTAATTTTACCTTTTATTTTGATTTTCTCTGAAGTGTTTGTAGGAGAGGAAACATTCATTACCAGTGGTATTTCCTCCATCAGAAATAGAATCTATTATGTCTGTTTAGGTAAATCCATTTCCTTCCTATTTCACTTCACGGCTGTTTACCGTTCAGGGTTTATTGCATTTTGGCTGCTGCAGTACATCTCCCCCACTACAGGAAGTATGAAGTAAGTCCTTTTGTCATTTTGGGAAAAAGAGCCCAGTATGTGCAAAGAATCATATGCATGGTGGGTTTTTTTTTAATTGTAGGAGTAATACAAGACTGCACACGTTGCATCCCAACTTTCTCAGCTTTTGGCATTGTTCATGTCTGACCTATTTACAAAAATAATCACACTCTTCAGAACCGCATTTCAATCCTTCCTCCTTGGCATATGGGACTTGAAGTCAAGCTTTTCTCTGTTACTTTAGAAAACAAGTCAAGTTTCTTCATATGGTTGCCCTTAACATGCCCCCGGTACTTCAGGTGCGCTGCGTTTCCCTTCGGAGGGACAGCAGGTGACCGAGTGGCTTCGCAGCGACATCTCGTGGCATGACTCCCGTGAACAGTGTCAGAGATTCCTCTTCCAGGCTGGAGAAGGTTTCATGTGGATTCAGTCGAATATTTCACACAGAGAGGAGGTAGGATGCCATTAGAAAACCAAGTCATTAACTCAGTTTAATCAGGTAGGTGACACTGTCAACATGATTGTCAGTTGTACAAAAGATAAGTTAGAAATTGGTTCATATGCTATAAAGAATATAGATATTTGCCATTTTTCCAAAGGCTGCAAAGTTTGGACAGTATGGTAAGATGGACGTCTGAAGTTGCTGTTGCAAACATCTAATCACACATTATCTAGTGGAAAAATATAACAAAGACATAAAACAATTTATTTCTGACTAAAGTAAAATAATAGAATATGGAAATACTTCCCCTCCTTGTGTTTAGCCATTCACCATCTAAACAACTTCATACCTCTTGGGGTTTCAGTACTTGAGGCCATACAGATTAAACTAAGGGGAGAGAATCTAAAGTAGCAACATACAGCAGGTCCACGATCTATCAACCCTCAATTTACAGAACTTGATTTTGTCAAAGATATTTGTGTGTCCATTGGAGTAGAGTTCTTGAGGGAGGAGAGTGGAAGTGTACTGACTTCCAAAGTCTGCATGGAAAACCAATGTGGGACCAAACCCCTAAAAAGGGAACAAGGATAAGTCATACAGGAATCACAATAAATGCTGGGGATTTGTCCTTAGCTAAAAGCTCTATTTCATGTCCTTGTTTGCTGTGAGATAATGACTCATCAGTAGCAGAAGTGAGGGGAAACCATATTTTTCCAGAGAAAGGGGAGCTCTCAGGCTAGACTGATGGCCTCTTTCAAAGTGAAGAACACTGAACGTGCTGCTGAGGGAAGGGCTTTCCATGGCTTGCCCAGGTGAGCCAATGTGAAGGGTTTTCTGGCAGAGGCTGGCAGGAACCAGGTGGCTTTGAGCCTGCTGCCTGCAGGGAATGTCACTGTCCCAGTGACTGGCCTTCGTGGCAGAGGCTGGTGACTCATCTCAGCTCGAAGTCACGAAAAGCAAATTCCAGCTCTGGTGGTAAGAATGCTTTGGAATAATTAAAATTGCTGTCACGCATGGTATTTTCATGTTCAATCTGTGTATCTTTATGAGCTGTATACCCTTGCCAGGCACTTAGAAAGGCTTAGTTCTGGAGTAGCAATGGATTAACTCAAATTTCTGACTCTGGGGTATATTTCTCTATATTCTGTAGGCAGTTCCATACTGTCCCAATGAATTTCATATGAATGTTCTATATAAATTTTGTTCAACAGAAGCAGAAGTCAGCTATGTTTGGAAGCTGTGGCTTTTCCATGTAGTTTCTCAGTGTGAACTCTGAGTCTCTGACAGCTTTCAGTGATAACCCTGGACTTCAATGAAAGATTCCATTTACCTGTTAACTCTACTGGTATTCTTTTCAATGAATTGCACTTGAAAGTAATTGCACTAACCTGTAGCTGCATTTCTGAATGCCTTTCAGACACTGCACTTCCTCATGCTGCATTGGCAGTTAATTTCCTTCAGCCCCAGCCTTACAGAGGTTTCAGGCTGTAGCTTCTTCTCAAACACTTTGTAACTAGAGGGTCCTGGATTATTAAAAACATGTTATGTTCTGGACTTAGCTCAACTCTTCTGGAAAGCAATCATCTGGAAGTCAGCCTGGGATCCAGCTGTGTCACATGGATTTTCCCTGCTTTCTGAAACGATCTGTTCCACTGCTTGGGAGGTTTCTGGGTCCTGGGAGCAGGGACTGTCCAGTGTGTCACCACTGCTGTTGCAGTGCAGTGGGGAGGCCATGTCAGAGGGCTGCTCCGAGGGTTTCCCTGGAGCAGGAGGCAGGGGCACGGATAGAGGGACATTCATCATGTAGAACACGTTGCCCAGGCGTCGGGACACCTTTAAAGACAAAGGCAAAATTGCAGCAATTATTTCTTGCCGTTAAAGCCATTAAACATCAAGCTTGACTTTGGTGCACCAATACTAGAGACATCCCAGGCATCTCAAAGGGTTATCATATTCTTGTGGAAAAAAAAACTTTTCCATTTTCACTCTCTTATATTTTTCTAGGCCTAGGCTGTGGAAGGAGCTTGTCAATAGCCAACTTAGGAGTGTTGGGCCTGACAGCAGGATCCTCCTGCTCCCACAGTGCAGCAGCACCCAGGGACAGAGGGGAGGCAAATTTCCAGCCAGGAGTGGGGCAAGTGGTTGGAATGAGAGAAGAGTGAGAGAGTACAAGGGGTTAAAGAAAAGGAAAAGAGCCAGCAACAACAGAAACACACAGAGAGTTGATATTAGTGGATGAAATTAAGGGCAGAAAATTGCAAACAGAGAGGGACAGTCTGTTCCTGAAAAATGTATTCCTTCATATTCCGACATATTCCTTACTGTCTCCCTGTGTGCTGAGGTAACAAGGAAGCAAAAGGAAGCTTTGCTGGAGTAATTTATTTTCTCCCAATATTGTGGAAGTTACCTTACCAGTGAAAAAAAATGCTTCAGTTTGGAAAAATTCCCTCCTGTCATCTTCTGGCACTTTCACGTCTCTGTGACTCACCATCTTGGCATACATTTAATGATCATACCTGAGAGCGGATTTTTAATGCTGGTCCAAGTTTTAATCCCATTGTATCCAGGAGATGTTCCTCTGTTAGCAGTGGAAGGGTTTCTCCATCAATGGCGTGGTCTTTAAATATCTGATGAAATGATAAAACACATCATAGTGTGCTAAAATAGACTTTGATTGTTATTTTTCATGCTTAACACTGAGGCATAAACAATAAAAAAGAAGAAATATTAACTGCACAAAGAAAATTACTATTATAATTTTGGGACAATTGACTACCCTCCCACATTTACATTTGCTTGCTGACATTTAAATCTAGATGGTCCTAAAGTCACGAAAAAGTGGTGAGTGTTTATAATCACCTGGGCATAATCTGAGCAGCCTGGGAGGCTGACAATGAAGTTGTGCACATCATCAACTGTCCATTTGCGAATGTCTTCAATGGAGGAAATGTCTTCTCCATTCAGGATCAGGCCATGAGCTCCTTTGAGAAGGAAACACAGCAATTATCTTGGTAGAATTTTTCCGGCAAATCGGGAGGAAATTATTGTTATCATGAGAATTTTACACATTTCAGAATCTAATATATTAACAGCAGGATGTAGTCACTTATAGATACAGGAGTCTTAGACACAAAATCACCAGGTAATGAGCAGAACCTGGTTCTGAAGGGGTTTTTTTGGTGGCTTCTTTTGTTTACTACTGGCACTGTACCTACCAATCACTACACATACAAATCATGCTGCAGGACTTCCTCTAATGAGTGCATTGTCCAGTGCTTTTTCTTCTTTAGACTTTACTGTTATTTTAATTTGACTAATATTTCAGTAGAACAGATCCAAGCCTTTGCTAGTCCATAGTGCCTACTGTGAATTAGGACATACAGAAAAGTTGTGGACTGAAGAGAGCTAACTCCCAGCTTCATTCAGCAATTTTGTTTATTTTAATTGTAATTCCTTTTTAAAACAAGAACTGAATACAGATATTACTTTTGCAGCATTAGAATTCTACTTTTAGTTGCAATGATTCTACCATACCAAAAATTCACTTAAAACAGAGGGAAGAATTGAGAGACCAAATCCATAAAACCAGATTATATCATGTCACTCTAACTGTAATCTGGAGATCTGACAAACCTGAAGGTAGCAATGGGTTGTTGGGCACTGGAAATCCATATGGTAATGCTGAGAATGGGATTGCAGAAGGGTACAGGTACTTGTCATCAAAAGCAGCACAGGAGCTGTTGGCTTCCTTTTCATTTGTGTTGCTGCAGCTGGTGGTTTCAGTAGGAATTTCATGAGTAGCACAGTTTTTTCTCAAGCTTTGTTCAAACTCTTTGCAGTTCTTGGCAACTGCAGATGGCTCAGTCTGGTTTTTACTTTGCTCGTGTTTGTTTGATGTCTCTACCTCTACTTCTTTCTTGTCTTCTTTCTCATCATCCACTGCAGCTGAGGCAGAGTCCGTGGATTTGTCATCTGCCTGGTTCTTTGTGCCGTTGGCACTGCCCTCGGCAGTTTTGTGATTTCCAGCTCTCCTCCCGGGGCGGCGCCCCCTCTCCCTTTGCAGTGTGGTGACTGGTGGATATGGGCTGCTTGCCATGAGCATGGTGTTGCCGTGGATTTCATCCAGGCTGGTACGATGCACATACAGGTCGTTGGCAAGGTGCCCTTCGGGCAGTCTGTGCCTGCCACGGAAAGCAATGGGACTCGCTGGCATCCCGTGGTAAAGGAAAGGGGCTTCCAGGCCCAGGAGTCCTTTCCGATGGGCTTTCTCCATTTCCTTTTGCTGAAAAATAGCATTCATCTCCATTTCCATTCTAAGAGACACACAGAGCATGAGCAGTTAGGGCAGCTTGGTCCCTTCATCGCTTTTTTTTCTTTACAGCAGCAAAAAAACCTCAGATAAACGAATAAGCAAGAGTACTGCTTGTTTTGTCTTTCCACTACATTGCTGGGTGTGAGAGGGAACAAACTGCAGATGGAATGGCAAACCTGGCTGTATTTAATGTGCTGTCAGATAACAGATAGTAAGCTAAAAGAAAGGGAAAAACTATCTTACATGTGATGGCTCTGGAAAATACTTCAGACAAAAAAAGTGCCAAAATTGCCAATTTGCATATTGGCATTCCAGGCATGGGGATTATATTCACATTTGGAAAATAGTCTCCAGAGTCATAAGGGTTGAAGACTAAAGAAAATAATTGATTTATATCATCACTCAGAAATTTGTACTGAAAACTGCAAAATTCCAATGATATTTCAAATTATAAAGAACAAGAATTATATTATCTATGGAACCTGTGCATCTATTCAGAGTAAGCTAATGCTAAGTCTCTTGGGTAACCCTCCACAGTACCTGGCACCTGAGCATGGTTCTAAGACTGTGAAAGGGTGAGATCCTGGTGTGAAGTGTTCAACTGATCTCCTTCCTTCTGGATGAATGCTCCAGAGTCTATGCCAGCTTCCTGCTTCTGTCAAAGTGGATGGGAGGGCTTGCCAGTGGGATACAGAGAATACAAGTAGAATTTTATTTGTCTCTGCTGTACCAACCTTTGCTGGTATCAGTTTTTTCTGGAGCCAGGCCAGTGATCAAACAGAAAAGTAGAGCTCCTAGAGGAGCTTTCAGTGGGATTTCTGAATAGTTGGAAAATTGCCTGTGAAGTAAAGCACTTTAAAGTGCATCAAGATAGCTTTCTTAACACTGCAATGAGTATATAACAGGTCACAGAGAGCCTGATATTCAGGAGAGTGTAAAATTGTCAGGAAAGCAGTTTGGGCAAAAGCTATCTATACAGACTTTTCATATGAGGAGGAATTATTTGATCACACCATTCAGGGCTTTTTCTCTGCCCTCTTTTCATCTTTGAAGCAACCTCCAACATATTGATTTTCTGCTTTCAGAGATACAAAGGAAGTGTTTTGTCTATGTACCGTGTCCTTGTACGTTTTTCCCGATTATCATTACTCCCATCCAGTTCTTGAGGTGGCAGTAAACAGCAGAAAACACTACATTCCTGCCTCCTCCTCCTCCAGCTGAGATAGTCTGTTCCTGTCAGAACCAGCAAACAGAGCTTTGGGATGAGGCAGAGTCCCTTGGAGGACAAGGATTTGAGCACCAGGTGCTCAGCAGCACAGCTGCACCAAGTGCAAGAAATTGTCAACTCCTGATTTCTGGAACAGCTGAAAGGAGCAAATGCAGCCCTAAATGTGACCTATGCTGCAGTAACCTGGAAATTGCCAGGGTGACAAAAAACTGGGGTAAAATGTTTTTAAGGTGTAGGTGAGCTGTTTCATGCTGGAGTTTTACTGTTTGGTGGGCTAAGGGAAGAGTCTGAACAGATAGGACCAGCTTTGATGTGGCTCTGGGTGTATGAGATGGCCATGTTTGCTGCTAGTTATTTCACTTATTTCTCTCAGGGCTTTTGCCATGTGGCAAGAGTAAATTCACTGCTGATGCAAATCTTGTGCTTGGAGGAGTTCAGTAATCAAGCTTTGCTGACTTAAGAGCTTAAAACACATCCATCATAATTCTTTTCAGATGAATATACAGAACTTGGCTGCTCTTTCCTCTTAGTCTCTGTGTGAGGGGCACTACCACTGAGTAGTGCAGCCCAGTGGTGAAGTGGCTGAGGTTAGAGTTCCTCTGTGGAAATGGTGTGGCCATGAGGGAGGGCACTGGTCGTTTCTTAACCAGCTACTGACTACACTGAAACTGGTACAAATAACTGGGCTTTCTACAGTCACTCTGATATTTCAACTCTTTGGTCAAACTAGAAAAGCTGTCCAGCCTGGTAGGGTGGAGACACAGCCGCTCATCCCAAGGGCCAGCTACAGGCTTAAAGGGCTGTGTGTGATATCACACAGCTGTAAAGTTTGAATTTTTTTCTGAACTTTTGTAACTTCAGGGTGTTTGGATCCACAGTTCACGGGTTGTGGCTCTAGCTTGTTCTTTTCCTTAACCAAGCTAAAGGGTTTGTTTATTTTTGTTACATTCTTTTAAGAATAAAAGCAAAATAGGGCAAGCAGAAAGTTGGTAGCTTCAGGCCTTAATTGATACTCAAGGGCTCTCTGATTCTCTGGGTGACTTGAAAAACAATCTCAATCACTTTGCTACTTTAATCCTGGCATGCACCTCAGAGCAAAGCTTGCTAATGATTACCTGGCAATATTTTGCTTTTGAACCAGTTCTTGTCTTCTGGCCACAGCTTCCATGGATTCTGGTTGCAGAAAGCTGTATCCTTAAAGAGGAGGAGGAAAAAGAAATCTTTAAAATTTACTTGTTTCCTCATGCAAATGCACAACCCCCTAAACAATGCAGAGACACTTTAAAAACTGTGAGTCTTCAACTCTGGGCTTCACCAGGAAGGTAATAGGATTTCAAGTTAAATACTATTTGTTGTCATTGTTTTGGTTGGAAAATGTAGAAAGAACACGAAGTCCATCATCAGGTGTTTTCAGGAGCAGATCTGTAGTGAGGAATAACTGCCATTCACCACAAAGGAAGGAGACAGCAGGGTGGTTTTATTTGGTGACTAATGCCTTTGAAGTACATATAACTGCTCAGAAAATAATAGCCATCAGTTGAGCAAAGCAAACCTGCTCCTTCAAGACTGCTTTCAGCCTGGAGGCTGTGTAGTTTTAAATTACATTTCCTCTTGAGGGACTCTTATTTGAGATCCATTTTAAGGCGAGGAAAGAAGCTGAAATCAGAATTTTTTCTTGTTGTATTGATGTGACATTGAAAATACATTCACTCATCTGAAAGAGACTCTTAAGCTCACTTAGTATAAAGAATGTGCAAATTTTTGTGCAGCATGACATGAGTGCCATAGTTGTGATGTCAAGCCTTCCCCTTGGAGGTCTGCCCTGTAATTTTGAGCCTTTATTAAAAAAGACTTGTATGTGCCCTACATGAATTAAGTGGCATGTGGTATTACCATTAGAGAACATGGTCAGCCAATGCTCATATAAGAGGAAGAGTAAAATGTAGTATAAAAGTGTTGTTGATGAGCTATTTTTTTAGCTATAGCCTTTTGTTTGGGTGGGAAGATGCTTGGAAAGTACAAAAAGAAAATGAGGGAACAAAAACATACAACAGACTCTGAGAACTATAGAATGGACATGCTTAGATCTCAACCAGGACAGTTTGGAATCTCTGGTAAGCAGGGTGCCTTCTTTTAGTGAGACTTTTTCTAAATAAAATAAAACAAACTTTTATTGACACTGCCAATAAACATATGGAAAACAACTGGTGCAGTTGGCTCTCTGATCCACACGGTCTCACTTTTCAGGGTACAGAGGTTGCTTTGTTACCTGGGCCTGGGTAGACACGGTTGGACAAGAGGTTTGGCATGTTGGGGTGCTGTGGGACTGTGGATCCCAAGTGGGATGCTATGTGGATTTGTCTGGGGTCAGCTGAGGCCATCATTTCAGTTGAAGGTAGCAGATCTCTGAGAGAAAAAAAAAGACCATTCAGATATGCAGAGGATATTGTTTAGTTAAGAATAACCAATGATCTTTACAACCTCAGGGGCAGCACACACAGAGTGATTAACTGCAGTGCAGGAACAGAAAATTGGTGCCCAGTACCTGTCCACCAGTCGCGGCTCGAACTGGGCGGGGATCGCCTGCATCCTCTGCTGGCCCGGCCCCATCAGCTGCGGGTTTACTGCCATCAGCTGGTTCCTCATTAGCATCTCCTGCCGCTGCCGCAGTTCTGACACAAAGCACACACAGTTCTGCTGTCAGTGGGGTCAGTTAGGAAGCGATTCTGGCTGCGTTACGACCTTACCACAAAAAAACGTTTTGTTTTGTTTCCTCTAGTGCAGATCATAGCTTTTTTTTCCCTAATAGGAGCAACTGAAAACATGTTTTCACTGCCACCTGAACTACTTCGTTTAAATAATGTAGATTTATTCAATAAAACTGCAGGAAAAATAAATAGGATGTGCTCAGTCAAGTGTATCAAAGGACAAATTACAATGAATAATAATTTACATAACACTATGAAACAGAAGATAGCTGTGGATGTTGAGTACTCTGCTTTACAGGGTTTTAATTTCGAATACAGTTTCGAGAAAAATCATACTAGGTGGAACCTGCATTGCCATAAGAAAGCAGCTCTAGAAAAGAAAGCCCACAATGTTGAGCCAGAACATCATAATGTCCAACTGTGGCTTTTGTTTGAGTTCTTGTGTGACATTTACTTGTCTTCCAGATGCTCAACATGTCTTAGTCAAATACTGAATTCCAAGAGCACTCTTTGTTAATTTTTAATTACCTTAAGCAAAATGTTTCTGCAGTTACTTCTAAGATAAATTGGAAATACCTTTTAAAGACCTCAAACCTGCTGCTGGCTGTTTCTTGTAGGTTGTAGATGCCAGCAGTGCTATAACCACGTGTGCAGTCGCGTTTCTTGCTGCTCACCTCCTGCTGCCATGCCGCCTGCCAGCCGGTACAGGTGCTTTTCCTCCAGTGTTCCCTGTTCCCCCAGGATGGACATCTTCCTCATGTGCTCCCGGGGAGTCATGCTGCAGGGACACAGCAACAACTGCTGATGCACAGAACTGAAGCAGGAGCATCAAAGAGAAATAAGAAATTAAAAAACGAGAAACAGAGACGGTTATGCAGGTTGTTTCCCAGGTGGTCCTGCCAGTCACAGCTGGACCCTTCCATGCTTGTGGGTTTTCACAACAATGCAAATATTGCCCTTGCTTACACTGAATTTTTCAGTGTCCTTGGATCCTACAGTGCAAGGAAAATCAGGATGCTGGAAAATAACACCTGCTTAAAAAGAGGTAATTAAGCCCAAGCCTTTGCCTTCAGCCCTACGTGTGTCTGAGAGCAGTTACGTGCTCATACTTAGGAAGGCAGGTGTCTTTAGTTTAATTTCAGAATTGTAATCATTTGGAGCCCTGTCTACTGTAAATTAAGTGAAGTAGATGGAAAGAAATGGTAGAAATTATCTGTTCCAAATCATCAGTCCTTTAAGGCTGCCAAATAGAAGTAAAAAAGGTAAAAGGACGTGTTTTGTGGCGATGAAAACAGTGATAAAACCAGTAAGATTCAGATTAATTATAAATTAATACATGTAATTAATATATACATAATTAATAACTGTAAAGGAAACAAGTCCTGTAACCCAGAGCCTGGATGTTAAAAAGCTGCCCTGTACAGAATAATTTGAATTGAGTTGTTGGCAGAGGGAGCAGGCTGGCTCCAAAGGCAGCAGCAGGAACATCTGTACATTGATCTCACACTAGACTTGCACAGCAAATGATTATATTTTAATTTTTTTTAAGTAATGAGTTGAAATTCCATCCCCATTTATCTCTGATGAAATGGATTCTTTCTGTCTTCTGAAAGAAGAAAATGTAACACTGAAATGTTCTCATCGTGCAGATAGAGAGTTACAGCTCCAAGAGTCCAACCAGCATTTGGTAGAGGTAACAGTGAGGCAAATGCAAAGACAGGAGCATTGTTCCTCATCCAAAAAATGAGATAAAAGCAAAGTCCTGTGTTTCAATGTCCAAACCATTTATAAATTAGATTTATCATTATAACTTCTTTTATTGCCTTTGAGCTATTGATGAGCTTAAAATAATTTAAGTGATAGATATCAATCTAATCATATGCTTAAGGAATTTACTGTATGAGGGAGATATTTGGTCTCAAAATGAGTTTGCCAAAAGGTAAACAAGTGAGTCATTTCAGCCATTTATACTGAAAGTAGAGGCTGAACTTAGATCATACCACTGGTGTTCCCTCAAAATAAAAAGTGCTTTACATTTGTAAGTGTAGACGTTGGATTCTTTGTTGGCCAAGAGATTCAGGTCTCCCTGGCAGCAGACAAGTCTGTCAAATCCCAGACCAGCACCACAGCCTTTGTTCTTGACATTTTTATCTGAACATGTGCTGCTGGATATGTTTCCATTTGCCTTTTTTTTTTAAGATACTTTAGACTTAAAGCGATTTAGGATGCTGGGTGCCTCATGAAGAGAATTTGAGCTGCCAAAGTGCTTCTGAGCTGCTAAAGCATTTTAAAGCTCAGTACTAAAGCGATTTAGTGCTGGACTAAACTTTTCAGCTGCTCAAAATATAGGTGGAAACTGGGATGATGGTATTTGCCATACCATATTATTCAGTGAGCTATTTAGTTGTTTTTCTTTCTTGGATAGATACTCTGTACGGAATACTCTGCAAAACAAACTGAAATGTTAAACTTCATGCTGCCCTTCTTACAGCCTGGCCTTTGGCCTTTGTCAGGTGCACCTGACTAGAGAAACCTGGTCTACCTGAAGATGTCAGTGCTTATTGCAGGGGGATTGGACTAGGTGGCCTTAAAGGTCCCTTCCATTCCAAATTGTTCTGTGATTCTGTGATATGAGGGTGCAAGGAAACCATCAAATGTTCAGATAGCCATAATGGAAAAAAGGCCCAAGAGATTTTAACCTTTTAATTCTAGTAAATCAGGAAGAAAATAAAATTAATAGTGAGCTTTAATACTGACACATTTTTTTCTCTCAGATGACTGAAAAGTTGTACCACTTTTGCATTTTAGGAATTGCTAGAATGTGTCAGTCTCCTATTTAAATCAAAGTTGTAAATATGCATTTTTTTTCTGGAGAAATGTCCCTGTGTGGGAAAAAGACATACAAGTAAAAGACACTTTCTTCATCAGGCCTTCCTAGAACTTCTACACTTCCCCTAAAATCACACTGGTGACTAAAATTATATGATGCAACTTTAAATTGTAGAATCGTGGAAAACCTGTTGGGAAAAGAGCCATCTGTTCTGGCCCAAATCCCTCCTGTGGGATCCCATATACCCTGACTGTTCTGACAGACATCTATCCAAAAGCAAGCAGCAGTAAGTGGTTAGAAACCAGTAGCACCAGTATCACTGTGGTGTTCTCTGTGTAGTTGGTGCAGTTCCCAAAATAAGTCTGGATTTTGTGTTGGATGTGAAGGATGATACAGTGGCTGTTGACAGGCAGTCTCACACTACCTCCTTTCAGAGATGAAGCAGAAACTATGTAAGAACTTTCTTTACAACTTCTATTTAAATATAAGGTTTTCTTTTAAATGTTGGCATTTTCCCAGAATGTAGGGTACTGATTACAGCATCATCTACAGCAAAGTTATCCATATTTACTGATAATTATTATCCACCAGATGACCAAGATTCACAGACTACCATTTCAGACAATGGGCATCAGATAAACAATTTATCCTTGCAAAGGCAGACAGTATGGTCTTTTGGCTTCACATGGAAAAAATACAGTATTGAAAAACTCATGGAATAATATGATTTAAAAGTTCTTTGGTCCACTAAAGCTGTAGCTTACTGCTTCCACTGACCCAGTTTTTGAATTATCATAAGCCAAAAGAAAGGTTTGATTCCTTAATGAGGTTTTCAGTGAAGTTGCTTCATGAAATCATTCTGGTTTTTTTCATTGGTTTTCCAATCAATCCTATCTAACTTACCCTGAATTTCTTCTCAGAGACATAAAAATAACTCTGGTATTTGTGATATAAAGTTGAGATATTATTTCCACCAGAATTCTAATCTCTTTCTGCAAGTTGAATGCCAAAATCTCTGTATGGTTCAAACTTAATTTAAAGGATGTGTTTTGTATGTGTGTTATCTGTGTTAAATGACTTCTTTATTTCCCTGAATTTCCTATTAGTGAAGTATTGAAATGATCAGGTGGGATAAATAGCTTAATAACCTAATGTAAAGATTTGTATGTAACTCTGTGTCAGGTGGAGGTACTGAACCTGACTAATCCATGTTATTCCATTTGGAAAAACACCTTTTTCAGTTACTTAGCTGGGATTCTGACCTGCGGGTCAAATTTAGGTTAGTGTTTAGGTTCATACTATTTTCCATAACAAATCCATTGTTAGAAGCCACACCAGCAGAGGAGGATCTGTGAGGGAGCAGAGAAAGTACAGTTCTGATACATTTATTAGCTGGGATTTGAGAGTAGCTCAAAATCTGGCATCAGGGTTCATATAAATTCATACACACCAGCTGTCCAGTGTTAGATTCATATATGGCTCTGCTCTGATCCTATTGCACAAATCCTGGCTGTACAGCACATTACAGGGATGAAGACAAGTTAATCTCTACCTTTAGAGTCTTACCCTTAGCAAACCCTTCTTGGCAGCAGGCAGAACCACTCACCCAGGACTAATTCTGTCTCAATTTATTAGATGAGAAGTGGCAAGACACGAACTTCATGAACCAGAAGCATTTGCAAATCTAATCATGCAACAGTTTCAAAATGTCTGTAGCAGTCTAGGTGTTGATGTTATCAATTGCATTGGCAAAATACAGTTTAGTCATATATAATATAGACTTGTTGGAATACTTGTATTTGAGTTAAATGTGTTGAGATTTCATTTACAAATATTGCTTTTATTTACATCAAACACATGGAATTAGCATTCTTTAAAGTCAACATTTAGTGAACTACGGCAGTGTCCACAGACTGGAAGAAGCTGAATATTGTTTAAAATTCTCGTGTAAATTTGTGTCAGCTAAATCAGTCAAACATGCAATATGAACATGTATTCATGCTTATGTGTGAAACATATGAATGAAGATATACATAATCTCATTTGCATTTCCATTGGCTTCCCTTTTAGAAAAAGCTGACCTGATTGCTTGAGAAATATATAAAAAATAGATAAATATGCCAATATTATTAGTAGTCTTAATGTTATTAGTTATAGGATTGAGGGTTCTTGCTTTGAGTCTATGCTGAGGGTCATAAAACTAGAGATTGTACTTGTTCCACAATCCACAGTTAGCAAAATAAATAACTTTTGGAAAGGAAAAAAGCAATTATGCTATCATTATGTCATACAGGAGCAAGAAATATGTATTCTTAGTTGGAGTAAGGTGCCATTGGAGAGACTGTGGGTGGGTCTAAATTCTAATCCTAGATATGTGGGCACAGACTGCTCAGAGACTGAGATTAGAGTGTAATCCTAAAACTGGATTGAGAACGATACATTCCCTAAAGAAAGGAAAATAACTATATTTATACTGTGTGTGTCAGCCAGCGGTTTGTGTTGCATGCCTTCACACCGACTGGGACACACGGATCTGCCCGTTCTTGAACCAGCTGATTGGTACAATTGTGAGCAGAAAGTCACTCTTTTTTAAACATGCTGTTCTCAGCAAGGTTTAGTGCTGGCAAACTCAATCCTTCAGGAACTAAGCTGGCCTCATAACAAAAGCTCATCTTGTTCCCCTTGGAATGGCTGCGGGCAAGGGAAGATTTATTCCTGTGGGCCCCTAAGGCAAGCACTCAGCCTGAGGCATGGGCTAAACCCGGAGGTGGAGATGCTTTGTGCTGAGCACAAACACCCAGCGAGGGCAGAGACAGACGGTGAAGGAAAAAGGAGCTGAATTCCTGCTGTTTGATGTGGCACTGGAGGCACAGAGATCCAGGACAGACAGCAGCTGAGGTGGGAACTGCGCTGGGCGCTTCTGCCTCTCAGCTCGGCGCTGTGACCA